GACGGTTACAGGGTCCATGTCATATCCTTGGAGCCGCAGCCACATCCGCTCCAGGCACAGGCGGGCCAATGAGCCCCTCGGCCTCCCCACCGGTGGGGAGTGGGTGCCGGGCCAGCCCCACAGCCTCGTGGGACTGTGCCCTGTCCAGTGCGGTGAGGAGCAGGGTCAGAACATCGGGGGCCCTGCAGTCACCCGGGGGGAGTCCCCCCTCCACGCACAGCACGGGCTCCCTCCTGGGGCTGACGGCCTTGGTCCCGCAGAGGTGGATTCCCAGGAGCTGGAAGGGAGGGGGTTGCCCCTGGCCATGGGCTGGGCTGGCTCCATCACAAAAGAGGAGGAGGGCCGCGGACGCAGTTCCAGAGACGCCCTCTCCGCCCGGCTCCCCGCTGCCTGGCTGAACCGATGCGTGAACAGGAGTCACCTCCCGAGTCTCTGCAGGCCACAGGGACCTCGCCCGGCCCCACCAGGCCCACCTGCTCCAGGGGCGCTAGGACCCAGGACTCTCCCCACCACACACACCAGGCAGGCACTGAGGATGTGCTCCGCCCCACCACCAGGGGCAGCCGCGCACAGAGTTCCTTTCCTTGGTGGAGCCCTCAGATGGCCCAGAAGCTGGTGCCAGGATCTGGCCTTGCTGACTCACAGGCACCCGGGTGTGTGTGTGGGAGGAGGGGGCGGGGGGGTGCAGTGATCCCACACCCCACACCCCCACCGCCTGGCTCCCTTCTGCACTTAGATCTGTCCACCCCTGCCCAGCTCCTCCCGCTCCTTCGTCCTCAGTCCTCTAGCTTCGCTGACCTCCCCGAGTCTGACCTGCCCCCTCTCTGTGCCAGGCAGCAGTCCTCCTGCGGGCGCTGGAGATGGCGCCCTCGAGGGAGCCCCGGGCGGCTGCTGGCCACACAGCCCTGCCTGCAGGTGGAGGGGGTGCAGTGCAGGCTTGCTCTGCCTGCCCCTCATGGCTAACTCTCACCCTAACCCTCACCGCCAACCCTCACCGCCATCCCTCACCGCCAGCCCTCACCGCCAACCCTCACCGCCATCCCTCACCGCCCTCACCGCCAACCCTCACCGCCAACCCTCACCGCCAACCCTCATCACCAACCCTCACCGCCCTCACCGCCAACCCTCATCGCCAACCCTCACCGCCATCCCTCACCGCCAACCCTCACCACCAACCCTCACCGCCAACCCTCACCGCCATCCCTCACCGCCATCCCTCACCGCCAACCCTCACCGCCATCCCTCACCGCCAACCCTCACCGCCAACCCTCACCGCCATCCCTCACCGCCAACCCTCACCGCCAACCCTCACCGCCATCCCTCACCGCCAACCCTCACCGCCATCCCTCACCGCCATCCCTCACCGCCAACCCTCACCGCCAACCCTCACCGCCATCCCTCACCGCCAACCCTCACCGCCAACCGCCATCCCTCACCGCCAACTCTCACCGCCAACCCTCACCGCCATCCCTCACCGCCAACTCTCACCGCCAAACCTCACCGCCAACCCTCACGGCTCCCCAAATAGGAGCCGCCGGGAGACTGAGGCCGCGCGGGGAGGGGCACGTCACACCGGTCGCCAGTGGCTTCCTCCGCTAGGTGGCCGCCTTTCCTCCCCGAAGGCCGGCAGAGGGTCAGATCCTCCCTCGAGCCGCGGGCGCAGGGCAGGCGGCTGAGGCCCTGGGAGGATGGACTGTCTGACACGAGCGGCGGCCTGTCAGGACGACCAAGCTGAGTGAGCGTGGGCGAGTCCATCAGGGAACCCCCGTCCGCAGTGACCGTGGCCTCTGCTCTGTGGCCACAGGGACGCCGACCCTCTGAGCAGCCTGTGATCCGTCCGCCCCTCCGGCCTCTGAGCAGCCCACACTCCATCCCCTGCCGGCCTCCGGGCCCCGTGCTCCGTCCCCCTCCGGCCTCCGGGCCCTGGCTGCTGAGCAGGAGGACGGGAGCCAGAAGCTGGGGAGGTGGTGCTCCTGTCACCTCCATGGGTCGTTCAGCCACCGGTGACCTGGCTGTGTCCCTGACCCTCCCTGTGCCGTGCCCTCGGCCGCTCCGTGACAGGTCACGGCTGGAGCTAGTGTTTCAAGGTCGACAGACAATGAATTGCCTCTTTCCTGGTTATTAAAGCCAGGCCGTGTGTGTGTGTGTGGGGGGGGGCAGGGGGTGTGAGGGCTGGCTAACTCCCCCGCTCCGAGGCAGCGAGGTGCGCACACAGGTCTGCCTCTCCAGGGCGGACTCCCTGGGCCAGCCCTAAGAATCAGAGCAGCAGAGTCATGACACACTGACTCCCAGTGAAGGGACGGGGTGGGGCCTGGGAGAGGGGAGGGGCGTGGGTGAGCTGAGCGGTTGGCGCCCCCAGGATGGGCTGACGGAGCTCGGGCCCCTCCCTCTGGGGAAAAGGCACGGAGTCCGGGGAGCGGCTGGTGATAAGGAGCCAGGCCCACGCCGGAACACCAAGGTCAGAGTGACCCGAGACTCACAGGGGCCACGTACGCCCTGGGTACCCCCCGCCCCCCTGAGCTCCCGCCTCTCCTTCGACAGGGCGAGGCTGTCTGTGCAGCCGGGGCCACACAGGCTTGGGGCCCACGACGGGCAGACGGGCTGGGGCCCATGAGCCCAGATGGTGGGCACAGTGCCGTGTGTGAGGGTTTGCTTTTCCGGGGGGGAGAGGGGAGGGTCATTAGCTCTCATTGCGTTTCCAGAGGACTCTGACCCCGAAGCACCCGCTCAAGGACTGGGGCGTCCACGCCGGGACCCTGTGGCACCCCTGAGGCCTGGCTGCTGCCAGGAACCGGACGCAGCCGGGGACGGGCTGTCCCTCTGAGGACGGCCCTTTGAGGATGATGTGTGTTACCTTTGTACCTGTGCGGGCTGAGAGCAATTGTTTTATTACGTGCTAGGAATGCCCGGCAGGTGGGCGTACAGGGGTCCCGGAGTGCTAGCTCTGCCGTGGCCAAGGCTGCCCGAGGCCAAGGCTGCCTGTGGCCAAGGCTGCCCGTGGCTAATGCTGCCCGTGGCTAATGCTGCCCGTGGCCACTGCTGCCCGTGGCCAAGGCTGCCCGTGGCGATGGTTGCACGTGGCCATGGCTATCCATGTACACGCTGCCATGCCCTAGAGGAGGCTGAAAACCACGGGCACGTGGCTCTGGGCTCGTAGGTGGGGCATGTAAGGAGCTTCCTTCCCTGCGGGGGAGACGGTGTGCTCCCCGCACCCTCAGCCCCTCCTCGCTCTGGTCTGCGAGCGGAAGGAGGCGGGAGGGCGCGGCTGTGGGGAGGGGGGAGGAGAGGAGCGACGTCACCTCCTGAGGACCCCGTGGCAGCCGTAGCAGAGAGGCTACACTGTGTGGCCTAAAGCCACAGGAGCCTGTGCTCCCAGTCCCGGGCAGGAGTCGGAGTCAGGGTCCTGGCCACGCGTCCTCCGGGCCTGCAGCCTCCTCCTCTCTCCGGCAGCTCATGGTGGCGTCACCGGGCCCGGGGCTGTGGCTGCGGCACTCCGGCCTCTGCTCCGTGGGCACCGGGGCTCCGGGGCGTCCGGTCCAGCCCCGCTCTTCCTGGAGGACATCAGCCCCCGTGGCCCCTCTTCCTCGATGCCATCGCCAAGGCCATTTCCCCATAACCCCACCCGCAGGGCCGGGGCTGGGACGGATCCCTTGGGAGGACACGGGTCAGCCCAGTGGGAGCACGCCTTGAAACGCCCCGTCCCCTCGGCCCTGAGCGGTGCCCCTTGCCCACCCTCTCCTCCCCTGGGCTCGGGGGGGCCGCCCTCCCTCCTGCGCGACCACCAGCCCTCCCTCTGGGCCTGTATTCTGAAGCGGGGCTTGTTTTATCCGCGTCTTCGCCATATTCGTGAGAATACTGACTCTGCTGCACGAACATAAACCGAAACCACCTGCAGGAAGACGGGAGCCGCTTCCTTTTCCTGTCGAGCCTGAGCGGCCGGCGTCCGGAGGATGGGAGAGCCCGCCCGCAGCACTGCCCAGAGGCGCTGCCGTCCGTCCGCGATCACACCGTCCGTCCAGAGCCACGCCGCCCACCAGGCGCCGCCCCGGGAGGGGGGGAGGGGGAGTGGAGGGCACATCCTTCTCTTTTCAAGAACCTCTCCGAAATGTCCCTCCTCAGCCCCCTTCCACCGGCCAGGACGCCATCACAGGGCCTGCTAGCTGCAAGGGAGTCTGGGAAGTGCGTGCAGATCTTATCCCCGGAGGCCAGGATCTCCGGGGACAGATCCGGGGGGATGGAGGGGGGACAGCTGACGGTCTCTGAGAGAAGGGATGTGATTTTTGGAGAAATAGTGCTGTGAATCCACCGCTCACCCTTATAATAGAAAAAAAAAAAGTGTGTCCATACAGAATACGGAGAGAAATCGGACCGTCCAGGGCGGGGGAAATCGGACCGTCCAGGGCGGGGGAAATCGGACCGTCCAGGGCGGGGGAAATCGGACCGTCCAGGGCGGGGGAAATCGGACCGTCCAGGGCGGGGGAAATCGGACCGTCCAGGGCGGGGGAAATCGGACCGTCCAGGGCGGGGGAAATCGGACCGTCCAGGGCGGCGGAAATCGGACCGTCCAGGGCGGGGGAAATCGGACCGTCCAGGGCGGGGGAAATCGGACCGTCCAGGGCGGGGGAAATCGGACCGTCCAGGGTGGGGGAAATCGGACCGTCCAGGGCGAAGGAAATCGGACCGTCCAGGGCGGGGGAAATCGGACCGTCCAGGGCGGGGGAAATCGGACCGTCCAGGGCGGGGGAAATCGGACCGTCCAGGGCGGGGGAAATCGGACCGTCCAGGGCGGGGGAAATCGGACCGTCCAGGGCGGGGGAAATCGGACCGTCCAGGGCGGGGGAAATCGGACCGTCCAGGGCGGGGGAAATCGGACCGTCCAGGGCGGGGGAAATCGGACCGTTCAGGGCGGGGGAAATCGGACCGTTCAGGGCGAAGGAAATCGGACCGTCCAGGGCGGGGGAAATCGGACCGTCCAGGAGGCTCCGCCCAGCGCCGCCCGGTCAGGGCGAGGGCGCGGTCCCGGGCAGGTGGGCGTGGGGCCGCTCCACGGCCTGCGGGTTCCGGAGGACGTAGCAGGCCCGGAAGCTCTCCAGCACGCGGGCCTGCAGCAGCGCCTTGTCCTGCTCCTGCCACGCGTCGGACTCGATGTACACGTTGAAGGGGTCGTGCGAGTGCTCCAGCTTCTTGGAGCGGATGTAGCTGAGCATGATGCCCAGCGTGAAGAAGCCGAAGAAGCCGAGCACCATGAGGATGTACAGCGCCTCCATCCCGCCCGTGCTGCCCGGGGCGCGGCGGGCAGGGCCGGACGCGTTGCCGCCCGGGGGGGCGGTCTCCCGCCACAGCCTGGCCAGCAGCGGCGTCACTGCCGTGGCGTTCGGCAGGCTCATCCTGCACGCCGGGCCGCCGCGGGCAGCGGGATCCTGGGAAACTGCGGAGGAGAAGGCAACTTGAAATCAAAATGTCCGCCTTGGCCACCACCCACACCCCACGCACACGCAGGAGGCGATTTTTACAACCTCAGGTGCTGCCCGGCCGGCGTGGCTCCGTGGCTGTGAACCAAGAGATCACGGTTCGATTCCCGGTCAGGGCACACGCCCGCGGGGGTTGTGGGCTCGGTCCCCAGTGGGCGGTGGTAGGAGGCAGCTGATCAATGATTCTCTCATCATTGATGTTTCCATCTCTCTCTCCTTCTCCCTTCCTCTCTGAAGTCAATAAAATTTTTTTTTTTTAAAAACCTCAGGTGCCTTCCCACAAGCCTCGGTCCGTTCCGTGTGCCACCTCCTGTCTGCACAAGGGCCTCTCCTGATTGTTCAGTTGATAAATTGATTCCCTTTATTCTCATCGGCCAGTCCCCCCGCTGCCTCCAAGGCGCCACCAGAACGAGGGCCTTGGCAGACACAGGGTCTGTTCCTCCCCGGTTCCTGGAGCCCTCACCCCCAGTGACTGTCCTGAGAGAGGGCGCTCGGAGGTCCCTGAGGTTAGGGGGCCTCGGGTGGGCCCTCTCACAGGAAGAGGAAGAGCCCCCTCGCTCCCTGCCCGCGAGGACACCTGGGCAGGCGGCCTCCTGCCAGCCAGCGGCGCGCTCCGGCCAGACTCCGGCCCCACCGGGACCTTGACCTTGGACTTCCCAGCCTCCGGACCGTGAGAAAGTGAACCTCTGTGCGGCCCCGCCCGGTGTCTGTGCAGCAGCCGAGCAGATAACACGTATGTACACGGTGTCGGGTTCCGGGCCCCCGGCCTTCCTTCTTCCTTGTCCTCCTCAGCACGTGGCCTCCACCCAGGCGTGTCTGTGTGTGCCCGCTTTCCCCCCTTCCCCAAGACACATGGCCCTCCTGGCGTGGGCGGCTGCTCCTCCGTGCCCCCCCCCCCCAGCTGACAACAGCCCGTGGCCTGGAAGGGACTCACACTGTGGTGCCGTGGCTCACACACCTGGCCAGCCACGGGGCTGTGGGCGACCGGGAGGCCAACCCCCGGGGACCGCACTGCGTGGAACACTGGTCACCTGGCAGCCTCCCACAGGGGCCTGAGGGGGATCGCGTGGCCCTCCCTCCTCAGCCAGTGCACCAGCTCAGGGGGGGCTGCCCTCTCAGCCCTCCCCCCCCGGGACTGCCAGGAGCCTCACAGAAGGTGACAGTCTCCCATCGCTTCCATCTGGATGCCCGCCGCTGAGCACCCACGTGACTCCCTGGGCATAGGTGTCTCCCGGAATCCTGACGGGGCACGCTTCCCGAACCCCCCCCCCCGCGGTGGCCGAGGATACGGGGTCACGTGGTGCTTTGTGCAATGAGCCTCAGAATGGCCTGGCACCAGCCCGGCATCGCCAGCGCAGTTTTAACGACCAGATCCAATCTGCCCGCCCGCGGGGCCACTGCCATTCCCACGTTCCCTCCACCGAGCGACACGCTCGGGGGCCGCCGTGGGAGGCGTGGGCTCCGGTGGACCGGACAGCCACGGTCAGCCACCCCACTCGCAGAAAACAGCTCCTCAGAGGGGAGCGGACGCACCAAGGTCACGCCTCCTCCCAAAAGCACCTACATGCACACGGAGAGGCCAGGGGTGACGAAGCAGCCCTGGAAAAGCCTCCTGCAGGCGGACCCGGCTCACCGGGCCAGGAATCCTATGAGCTGCCCGGCCAGCACGGCTCAGGGACTGAGCGTCGACCTCTGAACCAGGAGGTCAGGGTTCAATTCCCAGTCAGGGCCCAGGCCCGGGTTGTGGGCTCGATGTCCAGTGGGGGCGTGCAGGAGGCAGCCGGTCCATGATTCTCTCTCATCACTGATGTTTATTTCTCTGTCCCCCTCCCTTCCTCTCTGACATCAATAACGGTATATTAAAAACAAAAACAAAACAAAACAAAACACTCCACTCTCCCACTTTCCTTAGAAGCAGGGTCAGCTGTTTGCATCGTCACCAGGACACCCGTCCGGATTCCGGAGGCACGTGGCCCCACGCAGAGACGAGCCAGCGGGCCTGACCCTCCCGTGGTCGCTGGTTCCAGCCGGTCTGCCCCGTGGCCTGGGGGCGGCGCATCCCGAGGGTGGTCGGGGCTCAGGGCTAGCGCCGCTGTCAGAGGACCAGGTGTCGGGAGGGGTGGGGTGAGGGGCCCGGTCACACCACAGGAACAGGACGAGACGTTGGGAGAGGGGGTGGCAGGAGGTTCCCAGGCTCGGGGGGTGGGGAGGCACAGGGAGGGAGGCAGTGGTTAAGTGCATTCCGGGAACCCCAGCTTCCCTCTGAACACGGGGTCTACCCTGACCACCCCCAGGGCTTTGTGGGGCGGACATGCCCCCCTTCGCCTCTGGCTTGTGCCGGTCTCCATGAGAAAGCATGGCCACCATGCTGCCTGTCAGCATCCTACCGGCTCTCGCCGCTCCGGGGCCGCTGCCTGTGACTCCATCCTAACCCCTTCGACCCCCACAGCCCCTGTCTGCCTCCTAACGGGCCTGTCACCGCCATTTACCGGCCTGGGCATGGCCCCCAGGACTCGGCGGGGTGAGACTTGTCCACCAGCCCCACTCCAGCACCAGACGCGCCAGGTGGGTTTGCCCACCCAAACGGAGGCAAAGTGCTAGAGCAAAGCAAGGCCACGTGAGCAAATTACAGGGGAAGCCCAGGGCACTCTGGGAAGAGACTGGGGACCGAATAAAAATTTCTACCCACATAGCAGGTTTTCACCTAATGAAATGTAAACTACCTTGTTTATATTATTCCCGTATTTTTAGCATCATGTGGCTTGCGTATTAAAACATGTGATTAATACCAGCCCACCTGTTCCTGAAGCGCTGTGAGGCGGTGGTGACTGAATAACAGCCCGATGTCCACTCTCCCCACCCTCCCCGCGCTCACCCCTGTTAGACAGCAGCTCTCACTGCCACCTGCACTGCTTCTCCTGTGTCTTCCCGAGACCGCAGCTTCCCTGTGGCGGCCCGGAGGCCAGGACACAGGCATGTGGGCGCGGATGCATGAACGAATCGTGTCCCATTCAACCCCCAGCACGCCCGCACACACAGACTCCCGCACACACAAACGCACGCACACACAGACACACGCACACACACACAGATGCCCACACAGACACACACACACAGATACCTACACAGACACGCACACACACACACAGATGCCCGCACACGCAGACGCCCGCACACGCAGACGCACACATACACACACACACACACACATGCCCACACAGACACACACAGATGCCTGCACACGCAGATGCCCACACACGCAGATGCACACATACACAGACACACACACAGATGCCCACACAGACACACACAGATGCCTGCACACGCAGAAGCCCGCACACGCAGACGCACACATACACACACACACACACACAGATGCCCACACAGACATGCAGACACACACACACAGTCACATGCAGACGCACACATACACAGTCACACGCAGACGCTCACACACGCAGATGCCCGCACACGCAGACACACACATACACAGTCACACGCACACACACAGATGCCCACACAGACACGCACACACACACACAGATGCCTGCACACGCAGAAGCCCGCACACGCAGACGCACACATACACACACACACATGCCCACACAGACACACACAGATGCCTGCACACGCAGACGCCCACACACGCAGATGCACACATACACAGACACACACACACAGATGCCCACACAGACACACACAGATGCCTGCACACGCAGACGCCCGCACACGCAGACGCACACAGACACAGACACACACACACACAGATGCCCACACAGACACGCACACACACACACAGATGCCTGCACACGCAGACGCGCGCACACGCAGACACACACATACACAGACACACACACACACAGATGCCCACACAGACATGCAGACACACACACAGTCACATGCAGACGCACACATACACAGTCACACGCAGACGCTCACACACGCAGATGCCCGCACACGCAGACACACACATACACAGTCACACGCACACACACAGATGCCCACACAGACACGCACACACACACACAGATGCCTGCACACGCAGACGCCCGCACACGCAGACGCACACATACACACACACACACATGCCCACACAGACACACACAGATGCCTGCACACGCAGACGCCCACACACGCAGATGCACACATACACAGACACACACACACAGATGCCCACACAGACACACACAGATGCCTGCACACGCAGACGCCCGCACACGCAGACGCACACAGACACAGACACACACACACACAGATGCCCACACAGACACGCACACACACACAGATGCCTGCACACGCAGACGCGCGCACACGCAGACACACACATACACAGACACACACACACACAGATGCCCACACAGACATGCAGACACACACACAGTCACATGCAGACGCACACATACACAGTCACACGCAGACGCTCACACACGCAGACGCCCGCACATGCAGACACACACATACACAGTCACACGCACACACACACAGATGCCCACACAGACACGCGCACACACACACAGATGCCTGCACACGCAGACGCCCGCACACGCAGACGCACACATACACAGTCACACACAGATGCTCACATACACAGTCACACGCAGACACTCGCACACGCAGACGCCCGCACACGCAGACACACACATACACACACGCGCACACACACACAGATGCCCACACAGACACACGCAGACGCTCACACACGCAGACGCCCGCACACGCAGACGCTCACATACACAGTCACACGCAGACGCTCGCAGATGCCCGCACACGCAGACGCACACATACACAGTCACACGCAGACGCTCACACACGCAGATGCCCGCACACGCAGACGCACACATACACAGTCACACGCACACACACACAGATGCCCACACAGACACACACAGACGCTCACACACGCAGACGCCCGCACA